CCCCCCAAAAAAAAAAATTGTAATGTGATATATTGATTTAAAAATTACAATAAAAAAATAATAATAGTAAATATTCTTAAACACTTTTTAAAAAAATGAATAGAAAATACAATATATTACATTAATAATATAATATAATATAATATGATATAATATAATATAATATAATATAGGTGTTGGTGCTTGTAAAAACAATCTGAAAAATAAAAGGGGATTCAAAATGTATAGCATGTTGCTAATCTAATGATGACATTAAATATAGTTACATTGAAATATAGTCAAATTATTAAAAAAATATATTAAATTAACATATGTCTTTACATTTTACATATGTCTATTTATGTTTTGTTATTTTATTGTTACATTTAACTATGCTTTTAAACATGACAAACAGTTGTTTTTCTTTTATGCCTTAAAATGTTGTCTAGGTTTTCAAAAAGAGATTGCTGCTAGATGTTCTCTTCATGAGAAATTTGAGAAAAGCAATTCATAATTATGACACTGTACAAAACAAAAGTGTTTTCTGCTGGTCAGACCGAAAAGTTTGACATTTAAAAAGACTGTCTTTCACTCCTGGATGCTTTTCTGTCCGTTCTCTCTTTTCTACCACATCTTTTTCTCCTCTCGTACTTGAGTTAAGGCAGGAAACATGGTGTGAATATTATAGAGAGACACCAGCTCTCCTCAGTGTGAGAAGAACAGCAGAATTAAAGATGCTGATGATGGGAATGACAGAATAAATACAAACATAAACTGATTAGGAGACGCTTTAACAGTATTACATGTTAGAATATTCAATTAATGAGGCTTTCTTTTATGTTTCCATTCTGAGACACATTGTGAGCGTACAACATGTCAAACAGCACAACCTGATTAGAGAGCTGAACAGGACAGGGATAAAGTACCTCATTCGGGAAAGCAGATCTTCATAAGACGGTTGAATAGAGAGATCTTCCTCAACACAAATGTCCCTACAGCAGACAATAAATACAGCATCACATTAGCTGAGAAATAGTCAATAGGGGGTTGCCAGGGTGTTGTGATGTGGTTGCTAAGATGTTTTTGTGTGTTTATAGACGTGATAGTGATTAAAAGGATAATGTTTTTAGATGAACTGACGATGTGCATGCGCTGCGTGTGTGACCTTGTGCCGATGCCCTCTGGCTGTAGCAGATAGCAGCGCAGGCAGCTGTATGAACTCGGAGCACGATTCCCGCTCTTGAAAGCTCCGCCCTCTTCGTCAGAGTCACTCTCCGGAAGAGGTTTAATAATGTTCACGAACGACTCGGGAATGATTCCAGTTTTGTCCCTTACTGTGCCCTACAGAGAGAAGACACACGGCATGAGCAGAGGAAGACTCTATCTATCTATCTATCCATTTTTTTCTATCTATCTATATATCTATCTATCTATCTATCTGTCTGTCTGTCTGTCCATTTTTTCTATCTATCTATCTATCTATCTATCTATCTATCTATCTATCTATCTATCTATCTATCTATCTATCTATCTGTCTGTCTGTCCATTTTTTCTATCTGTCTGTCTGTCTGTCTGTCTGTCTGTCTGTCTATCTATCTGTGAGATGGTTTCTTGTATCTGCAGGGGAGATTAACTGATATGACAGGTGGAGGAACACAATAATGCAGGGGTAATGTCCCCAGAAGTGGGAGAGATGGTTTCTTGTATCTGCAGGGGAGATGAACTGATATGACAGGTGGAGGAACACAATAATGCAGGGGTAATGTCCCCAGAAGTGGGAGGAATAATGATTGCTACACCCCTAATCTTCAGACACATTAGGTGCATTCAAGTGAAAAAAGGAGTTTCTGAGACAATGAACTAGCGAGTCATGGCTTGATCTTTCTCTTTCACCCGCTCTTATCTTCATAATGTTATTTGAGGGTCCATTGCATGTCTGCAATATCAAGTTTTCGCTCTCTCTCTTTCTGTCCCTGGAATTCAATTCAGGTCAAATCGTTCTCCTTTATTGTCATGATCTGAAAAGATCGCAGGTATCGAACTCATAAAAACTATGTGTGTGAGCGAGTGTCCAGATCAGATCTTGTTGTTTTCAGTTTTCTCAGTTTCCCACTCCTTCTCACACACACACACACACACACACACACACACACACACTAATACCTAAATGTCTCTCATCTTCTCCTTTGATGTCTATGTCTTTTCCACCATCATTCTTTGTTCATAACACACTCTTTTTAGTGCTCTCTCAATCACTTTATACTTTAAATTATTCCCTTCTTCCTTTCTTTAGTGAATACCTTCATCTATCATGTACTCCTGATGCTGTATCTCCACCTAGAGTAATGTATATTTGTAGGTATTTTTTACATACAGTGTACACACACATTTTCATTTGGATGGATGCTGAATTTATAATATAAATTAAGTTGAAATCCTCTCACATTTGAAAACATTAGAGATGTACAAATCTTTGTGAAACCTCTGAGGTCAATCAGAACTGAAATTGCCAGATCCTTTGCAAAAGAAAGTCACTTTTAATGGCAAATTTAATTACAAATAAAATCCAGATGTGACTAATAAAAGTTACGTACAAGCATGCAATGTATGTAAAATACACTGACAATGTCGCATTAATGTGTTTGTGAGTTTATGTTATATAAAGGACATTCCTATAGTTCAAACAGTTCAAGGTCATGGGTTCAATTCCCAAAGAATGCATGAACTAATTAAATGTAGACCCTGAATGCAAGACGATATAAATAAAAGCATCTGACAAATGTAAAAAATAAATAAAAAAATAAGAATAATAAAATCAATAAATGTTAACAATCTGGAAATCTGCATTGTTTTGCAGTGTAAAGATGTCTTTAGATTTTTCTAAAAATTCAAATCCTAAAAATTCAAATGAAAACATTTTATGAAAATGTTCTAAATATTACTTTTATCATTATTGCTGTTGTTGTTATTACTAACAGATTATTACTTATTAGCAGTAGTAGTAATATATATTCATTTATAGTATATATTTGTTTGTAATTATTATTATTACTACTACTAATATTACTATAATGATGATGATTATTATTACAAATAATCATCTTTTTCTTCTTCTTATTATTATTAATAAGGACCTTTCCAGGAATAAGATGAATTACATTAAATTTTCTTTATGATTTGGGGAGTTATTAAATGGGTGAGACTTTGCAACAAAAGGCCAATAATTTGACATTTGCCACTGTAAATAAAGTGCTCAGAGATTTTGTGACTCGCCAGGCATTACATTTATTTGTTCATAATATTCTTTTTTTCTTTTTTTTAAATTTTGAGTCCTGAGCTACTTTGGTACAATGTAAAATGCAACCTTGTTACCTTGAGCTATTTCTTAAAAGTAAATTTAGTTGTGTTGATTCTTTTAGGTTGATTCAGGGATGGTAAATTACATTTTTTTTACTTACAATCAATTAATTTAGATGTTACCACATGAAGCACATTTTTAATTTAACCCTGTTTTCAGTGTAGTTTAAGAAGCACCTCTTAGAAGCAACATTACAGACACAGACACGTATATAAATGTACAGTGGGTACGGAAAGTATTCAGACTCCCTTAAATTTTTCACTCTTTGCTATATTGCAGCCATTTGCTAAAATCATTTAAGTTCATTTTTTTTCCTCATTAATGTACACACAGCACCCCATATTGACAGAAAAACACAGAATTGTTGACATTTTTGCAGATTTATATAATCACACTTACACACAAATGCCTCCAAACATAAATGAGATCACGCTGCTCCATCCTTTTTCTCTCTCCCTCCCTTTTTCTCTCTTACAAACCCTCCTCCCTATCTCTCTCTCTCTCCTCCTGCCTACCTATCCTCTTCTACCCTTCTCTCTCTCCATCTCTCTCACCTCCAGCCAGTCTGCGTTGACTCTCCGCAAGAGGAAAATCACATCTCCAGCCTTCAGACTGAGCTCCAGGCGTCCGCTGCTGCTGAAGTCAAACACTGCCTAACACACACACACACACAGCGAGGACACGCAAGCGGGAAACACACACACACACCGACGGAGAGAAAAAGAGCGAAACACGTCCTGAGTGAGACCGAGCTGCAGGTAGGAGATACTCATTCTTTAAGAACTTTGAAGAGAATGAATGAAAGGAAAAAATGGGAGTGTTGGATGAAATAGGATGAGAGGATGCTTGTAAGAAAAAAAGAAAACTACTATACAAAGTGGCAATAAGAGATTCAGGAGTGAAGATGCTATTCATAAGAAGTGAGAAGTGAAGAGATCAATGTTTTAATTGTACTTTAATTTTTTTGACACCAGCTAAATAGTACTGTGGAAATACTAAATGTTTAATGTTTTTTTTTTGTCTTGCACCATGGTAATTTCAGTAAATACCATGGTATTCTTCTAAGCATATTGTTTCAAAATATGTCCAATAACTGGTTATTGTAACAGTAATACAATGCTTTGTTGCACATGTGTGATTGCAAAATAATTTTAATGAACATGTCATTTTAAAAATATATTGTACATGTACTATGAAAAAACTTGTATTTTGAACACACATCTTTGTATTCTTAGACATTTGCCATGACCTAAATGGGTTTGGATAGGTACAAAGATAATACCATGGTATTACCAAGGTATTCTTTGAAGAACAGCATGTTTAATTAACATGTCTAAATACCATGCTTTTTGAGATTATACTGAAATCTCGGAAAATCTCTGATACTTCAAAGTATTTCAAAGATTAACACGGTGTTACCATTGTGTGTCCAGATACCATGTTTTTGGGCATGTACTGTGATAAATATTATGGTGCATTTATATTGTAATCATTCACATGAATGTATGAACTTTTGGACATACATTTTGAAACTTAGAACTAAGTAATTTACTGATTACCATGGTGGAAGTCCAAAAACAATAACTAAAAATATTAGAAAAATGAAGTATTTCCACATATGTTTTTAATATATATTAATTGAACCATGGTGCAAGTCCAAAAACAACTTGCACCATAAATTTTTAATATGATATTATATGTATGCATATGTATGTATATAAAACACCAGAAGTCAATGGAAGGTCCCCAACATAATAGAAAAACTAATCCTGTGAATAAAAGTGCTGTTAAGTACAGGCTGTTAACACATCATAATTACAAAAAAACTGAAAACAAAAAGAAAGTGATACAGAAGAATAAGTGGAAATGCATAACAGAAGAGGAGAGTGTGATGTGAGATATACGTGATGAAGAGGAGTGATGTGTGATAGAGAGGAGAACAGTGGAGAGAACGTGTGCGTCCTCCAATGTCAATGTCAGTCCTTCAAGCTTAGTTAAATCAAAAGAAACTAAGGTCAGTTACTGCAGAAAAGCTCCTGTGCATCTCAAGAGATGGAATGGAGCTCTCAATTATGATTTGTTCAAATGCCAACTTTGTTTTAGATGTTTCTTTTCAAATTTCTTCTGAAAATTACACACAAGAGACAGAGTAAGAATATAGATCTATAGAACCATACAAAAAATAATATATATATAGTTAATTTTCTAACAATATTTTAATTTTATTATTTTATATATATGTAATATATAAACTCAAATACGCACGTTGCTGCAATGCACTATGGCCACGGATCACTGTAAGGTATACTGGTGTTTCAAAGCTCTGTGTGTAACTGTACGCTAACACACTTCTTATATGTGTGCATGTGTGTGATGGGCATGAGTGGGCATCTGTTCTCACTCCGCCATCTCTGTATGTTTAGATAATGCTGTAAATCTGCTGAGCTGTGGGTCGCTTGGTTTGTTTGCATGAGTAGGAGTGTGTAGGTGAGACGTGTTAGATGTTACCAGCTAATTACAACTTGGCAGTTGCTTTAAGTGTGAGCACCCATGTGTGTATGTCCGTGCACGCTCGTAGGCAGCTTCTGAACAGAAAGATACAATTTGTGCCAAAACTCGATGTGAAAATCTCCACAAAGTCAACAGTACAGAGCAAGTATCTGAGCGCAGGCTCAGTAACATCAGATGAAGAAACTATTTCAGTACCACTGCTGCTGTGAAACCCTAAAAATGGCTTTTGGGTCATTTGTGTGGGCTAACTTTGTTATATAGTGCAGGAAAGTAACTCAGTGTAATAATTGGCTTCTTTAGCCACACCATGGTAAAGTTAAAATTAGACTATTTTAAGCGAATGGAATTTTGTTTCCGATATTCCTTTTGAAAGAGGGCAGTACAAATGAACACTTAGAAATGTGACACAACCCGACAATACTAGAAAAATCCTGTTATAACCAACAAACTGCAGGATGTCGGACTAATATCAAAAACTTACAAAACAACACCTTTCTTCCTCATATTGGGCTACGTTTTCTTTTGCGCCTGGTCTCTTGTCTTTTTCATTACATGGTTAAACCACACTGGAAATTAAGCAAGACTTGGAAATGTGTCAGAATGTGCCACAAACACACTCTGCATGTGGAAATGTGACAAAGCAATTTCCTGCCCGTTTTCCCAATGTAATATATGTGCTAATTAGCCTAGCGCTGAGAAAAGCTCTCACTAGCATTAGCATTGCCACTGTACCCTGCAAGGTAGCACTCTTTTGAAACTCATCTGCTTTTTTTTATTTTTCCAGTCTTCTGCAGTTGTGCAATCTTGAACTACTAAACATACAGGCTACATTCAAACTTTCGAGATAATTTCAGTCAGCGATTTTGGTAAACATTATACTTAAAGGAACAGGCACCCTAAAATGAAAATTCTGTCAGAACTTGCTCAACATCATGTTGTTCCAAACCAGTTTGACTTTCTTCTGTAGAACTAGGGCTGCACGATAAATCGCATGCGATATTTAATGCGCATCTTGCCAGAAAGCCGGTTCTGTAATCAGCGGTAAATCTCCATCACGTGAGTGCTTTCACATTGAGCATCATTAACTACACAGAGCCGTTGTTCACTGACGAGCTGCGCAAAACATTGCGCCAATATGAACGTGGTTTTGCATGCGATTTATCGTGCAGCCCTATGTGGAACACAAAAGATGCTATGAAGAATATTTTGTCCATACAATGGAAGTCAATGGGGTCCAAACAAAACATTGAAAGTTTCATTTTTGGGTTAAATATTCTTTTAAGAAATTTTGATTGAAATGAATATTAAAAAGCGATGATGAAACCACAGTATTTGTATACTGATTGGTCTACTTTCCTGCACTAATTTACACACTGAATTGTGATTGGTCTTTTACCTCTTCTATATATTCTACCTTATATAGTCACCTACTAAAAAGTGTTGCATTATCAAGCCAACAGAAAACAAAATGTCCGTTGAGTGTCATGACAGCAGTGTAATTCGTTTACAAACAAGCAAAGTTTAAAACATAAGCTTTCCTTTAACTTTAACACTATTAATGCACTATAATACATATCCAAGATGTTTGTTAGAAAAGCCTTCACATTTGAATTGTGCACAAACACTAGATAAATATTTTAAAAAGAGCAGACTGACATTCTAAATCAAACATCTCAAAAAGACGTTCTTTAAACATCCAAAGGGTAATATTTTAGAGCTAATGCGTTAAAAATACTTCTTCCAGATGAAAACACGTTTTAAATAGACACTTGGATGACATATATGTGCTTTCAGGCAATCTAGTTAGCAATAAGTCGGCATATTAGCTGAAAACTACGAATTAAGTGATATGAAGACCTCAGGGCTTGCTCTGCACTCGATATCGAAGAGAACTAGGTCGAGAACAAACCGAGATAGTTCGACTAAAGAAGCCTAAAAAGAAGTTTATGATGAAGGAAGTGTAAGCTATGTTGGCAAAATATGTCAACTTGTGGTATTAACAAAAAAAACAAAAAAAAGCCAACAAAAGACACATTTAACCACAATAATACCTATTGAAGGGGTCTCTCCTGTTTGGTCATATTCAGAGAGTTATTTCCGCATGGGATCAAGGAGTCAGAGAACATCTCTAATTATAGCACGACTCTGGGGGTCACAAAGCACTCTGATTTCAATTAGGGAGTCAATGACCTCCGAAATGAGCTCATTAGCACGTGGCCGGCCAAAAGGGAGGCGAGGGAGGTGTTTTTTTCCTACCTAAATGAGTGACCCAGATTGGCTCTTCTCAACTGGGGGATCAGAGCAGGATATAAAGAGAAGAGATCACTCTCTGGGGCCATGACACATGACAAAGGAGTCTAACCAAGAATGGGTGTCAGTTATTAACCTGCTTATATATGCTTATAAAAGTCGTTAATTTGCTAATGTAATGGGTGAAATACTAAGAACTTGAGATTGAATCAACAAAAAGTATGCTAAAATAAATACCTCTCTTTTATAAGACGTATAACCATCCAAAACAAGAACTCTGGGACTCTCGCCCCCAAGCTTTCAGCCAAGATCAGGTGTGAAATAGCAAAGCGGGCCATGAAAATAACCGTGAAAATACTGTAAAATAATGTGCAAGTGTGAATGCATATAATCAGTAATAGCTGACTTTAATGCTTAAACGTTATTATATGTGGCTATATAATGCTTAAAATATCTTCTCTTAGATTGCTCATACCGGTAACAGTATTTCTGATAGCCAAAGTGAAGGACTCTAATGGAAGAAGATCTATTGAAACATTATCTCCAATCTCTTTATAATGGCTCACTCTTACTGTCTAAACTCCTTACAGTGATATGGAGGAAAGGCTTTGATTTTCAATCAAGCTCTCTGTCTTATGTCTTATGAGTCCCAGGAAATGGCCATATAATTCTCAGAGCCATCACACAACAAATGAAGTAACAGATTTTATGATATCTACAGTACATGACACTTTTATCTGAAAATGCACATTGTTGACTACAGGATCAGTGTCATTTGAGAAACCTGGATCAATCGTTCTCACGTCATTCCAAACCCCTCTGACTTGAGAATATGTGGCAACGCAAAAGTAGAAATTCTGAAGAATGTTCAAGCTGCTCTTTTCCAAAAATGAAAGCAGATGGGTACCAACTCTAAAAGTGACAAAGCAGCACCATAACTGTGGACAACATGACTACACTATATCCCAAGTCTTCTGAAGCCATATGATAATTTTGTGTCAATATTTTTCACTTTTCACTGAAAGTCCGGCTTTCAAATTTACATTTAAACTTCAGCTTTCACATATTCAAACTTGCCATGTCACAATCTGATTTTTGATGCCACTGATTTCGAACTTGGTGTTCAGAAGATCTGGCATATAGCACGGACGTCATATGAACCATTTTTATGGTGTTTTTTTTATTGTGGTCACTGAACGCTTTCTTTTTGTGGAAAAGAGCAGCATGAACATCCTGCTGAGCATCTCCTTTTGTTCTTTATGGAAGAAAATAAGTCAAACAGGATTGGAACAACATGATTTATCCCAAATAAAAGCATCTTGCTCAAGGCTACAATAGTGACAGCTCATGAATCATCCCCTTTAAAGTTCGAACCTGCAGCCTTTCCCAGATATTTAACACAACATTTCGAATAACTTGGGATTAACTGTTTGTCTAAATAATGGAAGACAAACCCAATCTCATGAGAAAATTATTTTACGAGGTGGCAATTTTGTATGAATTTATATGGTGAGATTTGTTCAAAAACGTCAGATTTTTTGAAGAACGTACGAAACCGTACAAATGAGATCATAAAGAGTAAAATAGTTTTGAATTGCCATGAGATTTTGTTGGATCAATCGTACACTCAATATTGCAAAATCAGGTTTATTTACAGTAGCGCCACCTTGCTGAGTGCAGGTATAGACATGATTTTATTTTATTTGAAAATTTTGGCAATTAAACTTTGACTCACACATGCACATTAAAATTCACACACCCTTCCGAACTTAACTATAGATGGGCATGGGATTTAAATCATGTTTGATGTCATTTATTTGTGGTCACATCTGGTGTGGATGGAATGATAGAATGGCGATAATGTCTGACAGCATTGGGAGGCACAAAGAAAAAAATGGATGAAACTGTCTTGAAGGAGTGCAAGTACTCCAGAGGACAAAGAGTGAGGGATGCATTAAAGGATGGTGTGAGAAAGCGAAAGAAGAAAGCAAGACTGATGAGTGAACTCTGAGGGAAGAGTGGGAGAGATTAAAGGAGGGATCGAAGGATAAAGTGAAGAGTGGAAAAAAGAGCAGTGAATATATTAAGACAAGGAGAAAGATAAGAGAGAGAGGCTGAAGGAACGTGACTGAGAAGTAGGTGGAAGAGAGAGGGTGATAGAAAGCATTAAAGCACACAAAAATTATCTGAAGTAGTCATAATTTATTCAACTCTCATGCCATTCCAAACCCGTATGACATTTTCTTCCATAAAATACAAAAGGAAAAATGATGAAGAATGTCCTGGTTGCTCTTTTCCATCCAATTACAATGGATGGAGATTGAGGCTTTCGAGCTTCAAAAAGAAAGCAAAAGCAACCTAAAAGTATCACAAGAGTCCATAAGACTTGTTCATTATCGGTGAATTAAACGTGTGAACTAGATCAGCCCGACTCGTGAACAAATTGTTTATACGAATTTATGCACAAACAGCTATTTTGAGTCAGATCTTTTGGTTCAGCAAGTTCAGTTGGTTCACAAACCCAGTATTAACAACTGGTTCATGAATCAAACTGATCTAGTTCACAAGTTCAACTCACTGATTCAGTGATTCAGATATATAACGCAAAAGTTGTATGTACTTTTATGGTGCTTCTGTGTCCTTTTGAAGCTTGAAAAACTCCATTTGTTGGAAATGAGTGATCTGTATTTTATGTAAAATATATTTTTTTGTGTTCCATGGAAGAAAGAAAGATTTGGACAGACATGAGGGTGAGTAAATGATCACAGATTTTTCATTTTTTGGTGAACTATCCCTTAAAAAAGCAGCTCAGGAAAAAAAGATAAAGAAATTAGCAAAAGAAGTAGAACAGGGCAGGAACCATTAATGGGCCAAAGATCTGACCTAGAAAACTGAAAGACACAGATGTCCCTTTCTTTGTCTGTATAAGAAGAATGTTACAGATTTAGTGACATCACTGTAAATCTATCAAATGACGAGTAATCAAAACCACATAATTACGCTATCATAGTATCAGGAAAATAGATTTGGACATTTTCACAAGAAAAATCTGTGGTGTTTACCGACACGAAACTCGCTGGCATGATTGCCGGGGTGTTTTGAGTGGTTGCCAGGACTTGTTGTGTGGATGCTGGGGTGTTCTGAGTGGAGTTGAGTGGACTGCTGTGCAGTTGCTAGGGTATTCAGGGTAGTTGCTAGGGTGTTGTGGGTGGTTGCTTACTGGCCCAAGTCAAAAAATTTCACCCTCAAGTCTCTAAATATGACTTAGGTGCTGCCTTCATTCGAAGCCTATGAGATTTTTTAGCTAAAATGTGTGATGAATAGTAACAGCACACTTCTCAACAAGCTCAACAAGCTGCATAATTTGAGATATCATTCCTGTCCGTAACACAAGTTACATGCTCAAGTTTAATGCTTACATTTATAGGTTTGGTCACAACAAATCTGGCCAAAATTATCAATATTTTCGACATAAAACTGTGCAAATTATAGATACATATTCAGAATTCTCCATAAATGGAGCACTTTGAATCACTGCTTACTGGCCCAAGTCAAAAAATTTCACCCTCAAGTCTCTAAATATGACTTAGGTGCTGCCTTCAATCGAAGCCTATGAGATTTTTTAGCTAAAATGTGTGATGAATAGTAACAGCACACTTCTCAACAAGCTCAACAAGCTGCATAATTTGAGATATCATTCCTGTCCGTAACACAAGTTACATGCTCAAGTTTAATGCTTACATTTATAGGTTTGGTCACAACAAATCTGGCCAAAATTATCAATATTTTCGACATAAAACTGTGCAAATTATAGATACATATTCAGAATTCTCCATAAATGGAGCACTTTGAATCACGCAATGCAAAATGTAAGTGACACTGCAGCATTGTGGAAGAGTCTCAGCCTCCACAGAGTTTTATGTCATAATCTTCTGACAAAATGTGAGCGTTTTGAAACAAAAGTTTGAGGTGTGTTGTGTAATAACCTCCTGACCAAATGTCAGAGCTTTGTGTGGTGCCTGCATGCTTGACCATGTAAGTATGTGTGTAGTATGTAGTGTGTAGGCTGTTACTGAGAGTGTTTCCAAGGAAACACTGGTATACCTCTGCTCTGGGTGCGGAGAGAAGGTCCGTTTTGGGCTTTACGGTTTTTCTAGTAAGAGAGAAAGAGAGAAAAGAAAGCATTGTGAACTTTAGATGAATAACAGAAGAAGAAGTGGTTTCTACAACATTTTCTCTGAGTTTTCGTGTACATGACAGACAAAGTGAAAGGCTGACAAACCTAAATGAGAATTTTATTGCTAAGAAGTTCCTCTTTTGTAGCTCCAGGGACTTAGGTTATGTTTCATTTAGTGCTGTCAAAATTAGCGCTTTAACGCAGGAGGTAAATTTTTTTTGCAGTTTAACTGCATTAAATATAACGCAGGGATGGGGCTAGGGTTGGACACCCCACTCACAACTGCTGCTTCTGTCTCTTTTTTTTCTAGAGAAAAATTGCGTTTATTTAGACGCAGAATGTCTTTACAAACACATCAAACGGAACTTTTCAGATGCACACTACACTTCGCCTCAGCGACAGCCGCTAGTCAAACAAGCGCGGAAACTGTACAGATGACGAGGAGCTTCAGTAGAACAACAGTGAACTGTGGTCAGATGAGATGTTGTCAGGCCATATGTCAGTAAATACGAATTTTTCTGTCCTGTCAGCCGTTATACTGTGCTCGTAGCGTGTGCTCTTCAATTGCATGCACAAATATGGCAGCGCGCTGTAGCCTGTATCATTTCATATTAAAATGTCATTGAAACTACTTTCATGTGTGTCAGATTCGCATCACATTCAGCAGAGAAAAATTGCGTTTATTTAGACGCAGAATGTCTTTACAAACACATCAAACAGGGAACTTTTCAGATGCACACTACACTTCGCCTCAGTGACAGCCGCTAGTCAAACAAGCGTGGAAACTGTACAGATGACGAGGAGCTTCAGTAGAACAACAGTGAACTGTGGTCAGATGAGATGTTGTCAGGCCATATGTCAGTAAATACGAATTTTTCTGTCCTGTCAGCCGTTATACTGTGCTCGTAGCGTGTGCTCTTCAATTGCATGCACAAATATGGCAGCGCGCTGTAGCCTGTATCATTTCATATTAAAATGTCATTGAAACTACTTTCATGTTTGTCAGATTCGTTTCACATTCAGCAGCGGGAGCTCTTAAAGTAATAGCAGCCAAATAACGTAATAATCCAGCTGCTGTGATGTCTGTTCATCAAAGAACAAAAGTAAAAAAAGAGCAAATCAATAACCTTTGTAGCTTTAAGGTTTCATCTATTTTTAATTTAGAATTTAGTTTGATTACTTTATTCAATGTCTGTATATTTCCTACTTGCTTAAGGGCACAGTAAATATGACATTTATTATAATGGGTTTATGTGAAGATTGTTTTAAGTTCACTTAATTTGTGAAGTTGTTATTTTTTAAATTATAATTAATGTTAAAATTGATAGCTCTCAATTATACTGTAATGTTGAATGGCCATAGTCCGGAAATGTTAATAATGCACACAGTGAACAAAGATGAGAGGTCTGTCATTAGAGTCAGAGGGTCATTCTCAAAAGCGCTTTATGGGATCCGATTAAGAGAAGAAAAAAAATGAAGAGGGATCCATTCATACAAGTTGGTTTGAATCCAACTTTAACATCATTTTAATGGCTATGCAATAATTCCAACTTAATTCTTCTAATTCTCATCGCTGTCTCTTAAGATATCTATCCTTTCTAATAAGCTTCTTTATTATAAATCTGCATTAACTAAGCATTAGTTAGATCTGAATGGCACGAGCAAAGCAAGAGACATCCCTTTATAGTGCATCAGAGCAGACATTGCTAATGTCCTCATATAAACTTGCCAATTATCTTTCCATTGCGTAATATTGCATAATCAATATTACTCATTGGCTTGAGCAATCAGTTGGCATGTAAGTAATTTGTAATATAATTGGGCTTGATTTAACTTGGCTCCACTAGGTTCAGGTTTAGCTGGCAGGGAGCCTGTTGGCTTGCAGTCTTTAGGTGACCTTAATGAAACAGTGGGTAGGGTGCCAAAGAACAACCTCTCCTTCCTTTTGAATTCAATTATAAACATGCTCGTTTGGTCAAAGACAGAGTATGGGACGGGCAGTGAAAAAGAACACGAGACAAAGAGAAAGAGGCCTGAGACATAAGGCTGATTAAAAAGGGATCAGAAAAGAGGTTAAAGACATTAGAGACTACAGAATGAAACAAGAGTAGATAACACTACTACGATGACGTAGATGGTGTTATTACTTCTTCTATAGGGTTGGTGTTGAATCAAGTACTGGTTCATATTCCATTTAAAAATATGATTGTTGATGATGATGGTTCTGACGAGTCTCAGGCGGTCTCAAACCTTTGGGACCTTTCAAACAAATTCAAACAAATTTGAAAACTGCATTTCCATGTGCGTGCAGATATTTATGTGTGGATTGATGAAGTGAATGTAGATGAGGACAAGAAGAGACAGACAATGGTGTCGGTGTCAGTGTCAGTCAAAAGGATGCTACTCATTTCACTTTCCTGGCAATACAATGCTATTCCCTTCATCTGTCTCTTGTCTGTGCTGTTCTCCATCCCAATCACAGAAGTTCTAGTTAATCAGTAACTCTGTGGGAAACACTTCAAGTACTCAAAGAACAAAGTCCACCTAAGGAGTGAACTTTGACTCTGGAGGAACAGCAAATGTGAGACAATGGAAGGTGGTGTAGATAAAGGGCTCGCATCTGATGTTTTGAAATCCTTTTTCCGACCATACAATTCATTCCTGCATCTAACCATGGGGTGTCCAATCCTGCTCCTGGAGGATGAGTATCCTGTAGAGTGTAGCTCCAATTTGTCCCAACATACCTGCCTGGAAGATTCTAGTAATCCTGAAGATCTTGTTAACTTTTGGCGCTTTTCCACTGCGTGGTACGACACGGCACGGCTCGGCTCGGTTTGCGTTTCCACTGCAGTTCAGTACCGCTTTAGAGTGGGTGGGATTATTCACATATCGTTATAGTTGCGCCGCCTCTATTGCCGCGACTCCTGAAGAACTTTTTCATTCCGCATCGCCCCATCAAGCTCGCTGGATCGGCTCCTCTGCTATCAACAAGAGGAACGTCTGTACTTCCTCAACAGACAACGAAGCAGCCACTTTTTGGTTGTTAAAAAAGGTGCACTTGTTCAAAACAGTTGCTTTCGATCCTTCACTGGCTGTGCTGATTTAAATCTAGCAGTTCTGTTGTGTTTGTGTCGCAAGTTCAGTGACGCAGGTAGTGACGATTCTCTCCGGCCAATATGTGATCAGCAGAATTTACACGTCACGTTTTGGTAACGGTACGGTTCACTTGGAACCTCAACCGAGGTGGTACTAAAAAAAGTACCAGGTACCAGGTACTGTACCCATTGGAAAACCCCCCAAAAGTGAACCGTACCGAGCCGTACCGTGCCGTACCATGCAGTGGAAAAGCGCCATTTGATACAGATGTGTTTAATTGGGCTTGATAGGGCACCCCAATCTAGTCTGTTGTTGTTTTTGAACATCTTCTTAGATTTTTCTGAGCTCTCCACAGCTAAATTTGTGACTTGAAGTCTCCTGTAATGCTCCTACACAACCTCATCCAGGTGATTATCAGTTGACGGGGGGAAGTTATGGCTTCACGATTCTTATATATATGGTTGTACTTGTTTCTTCTACTTCTATCTTGACAGTACCTGTACCCCCTCATACTTGAGGGCCACATTTCTGCAGAGTTTAGCACACCTGAACCAGCTATTCAAGATATTCAGGATAGCTATAAACTCCCAGGCAGGTACGTTGGAGCAGGTTGTGGAAAGGTGGCCCTCCAGGAGCAGGATTGGACACCCTTGCTTAAGGTGGATTAGTAATAAGTTCATGGCATTGTTGAAGGATGTGGAAACTAATTCCACTAGCTCTGGTTGTGCGGTGAACCTTAAGCAAGAACTTTAATGGACTTTACAAATGTACACAATGCATCTAAATAACTAGTTGTTCAGTTCAGTTCTGTACAAACTGCATACATTTAATGAAACTTCAGTTACTATCTGAGCTTTTGGGAAGTTTTTAGTCGTTTTGTAGTTATGTGGCTGTCACTCCAAATGGGACTAAAGGGGACATAACACACACATACTTGGCTTTTGTAAAATAATGAAAGCAAACATGATGCACTTTCTGCCGTCTCGGTCTCTGTGAACTTGAGCGCTAAACTCTGTGTATATCTTTGCCTTACAGACATTCAAAATATATCTATATAGAGTGAAATGTCTAATTTCAAATGAACCAATTCAAATGGAAAACACATTCTCAGATTATGTAATCCGTATGAAACATGCATACAGGCGCATCCACTACTGTGGAGATGACGATTCAGTGTCACCGACTTCATCTCTGAAGCTGAAAACAAAGAAAGCACTAGTTTATCAAATTATTAAAATTTTAATGCAATCTCCTTACTGTTTATTGCTGACACGTTCATAATCATTACTTCTGCTGGTGCGCTGTGGCAAGCTTTATGCGTGTACTTGAGCACTTATTAGGCTATGTAGGCAATTAAAGGCTAATTATAATGATTTAAATGGTTTATCAATAAACGTGTGATTAGTCGACTAATGCTTCAAATGAATGACTACTAGTCGACCAGAAAAATCCTTACTCGAGGGCAGCCCTAGTTTTATCAGACTTATAAAAGAAAGATACAGCTGTACCTCTTCTCTCAGAAAACAGTCGAGTTCTGGGAGAAGTGCTGTGGGTGGAGCTAAAGAGTCACGAGCATGCAAAGCTTTTGCGTAACAATCGTCAGCAAGCTGTAACATCGACATAATTCCCTTAACGCTGGGTTCTTTGGGAAGCTGAACAAGGTTATCTTTCCCTCACAACCAAAAACACACTTCTTGTGGTGACATTAGGGCTGGACGATATGGCAAAAATTTATATCACGATATATTTCTTAATTTCAGTCGATACGATATAATTCCGATAATTCCGAACACTATTAAAAAAAGCCTCGTAAAAACTGCCAAGAACGCCACAACAGATCTGGTCTGTGCATACAAACTTATGAAAAATTAATTTGCCAAGTCTCTGACACCTCATATAAAACCATATAATATTTTAGAAAAAAAAGAAAAAAAACCCCAGCACAAATAAATTAATGTTCACCTTTTATTTGTATTTAGCCTTCATTCAAACAAGAAATGTGAAATTCTTTCAATCCTGCATTTTTTGATCCAAAATACAGCAAAAACAGTAACATTTTGAAATATATTTTTAGCATCATTACTCCAGTCCCATGATCCTTCAGAAATCATTCTAATATTCTGATTTGCTGCTCAAAAATAATTTATTATTATGTTGAAATTTAGAATTAAATAGATTTTAAAATATATTCAAATAGAAAGCAGTTATTTTAAATAGTAAAAATATTTCTTTTTTTTTTTGCTGTACTTTGAATCAAATAAATGCAGGCTTGGTGAGCAGAACAGAATTAAGTGCAGACTGATTGTCTGCCACAAGAGGTGCTTTAAGAGCGGTTGAACTAGGGGTTTTTCCAGTAATGGCTGTAATCAAAGCAGCTCCGCTCATGAACACTTCTTTATTAGATAAAATAAAAATCCCATCGAAACTTTTCTGAAGATAGTCCTTTCCCTTTAGAGATACATTAATATAAAACACCCGCGACAAGTTTTGATTTTAAAACCTGCAGTGCTATTCAACGAAGTCAAACGCCACAAATAAATCAGTGTATGGGAAACACTGGTAATGTAGGCTATATCGAAATGTCGGAAATGTGTTTAAAAACCATATCACCGTTATTGAAAAAATATATATCGCGATACATATTGATATTGAATTATTGTCCAGCCCTAGGTGACATTGTTGATTTTGTGGTCATAAGCAATAAGTAAAATCTCGAGCAAGTCCTGTGCAGCACTGCAGACAACATTGATGGGTGTGCTCTTGCTCTCACTCTGGTTGACGTGTGCATGCCGAGAAGTGCCCATAAAAGGAATTCCGCCTTTTATGACGTCATACAAGGCCATACTCTCGAAAAAGAGAGAGTTTAGAGAGAGATTAGTTCTTTTTTTGAGACTTCATGAGAGGTCATGTTTAGCATGAGAATCCAACTCTTTAGCAGTGTAAATAAGTCAGTGCATGAAATAGCATTAGACATCCCCTTTAAGCACCTACAGTAGTAGAGACGGGACAATGGTATTTAGCTGCAGTGTGTATGTGGCCTGTGCTAATGAACCTAGGTTTCCCCAGGGCTCTACATCGCTGTTGTTTTAGATGAGTCTGTGCAACAGCGGCTTAGTCACAGACCTGGCAGGGTAGGTAGTTGGCAGGTGTAGTATCCCGGCTGGGCTTCAGCTGAGTACTTAAGCTCCAAACTCTGGTGCAGAGTCAAGAACTGACGATACCTTCTGTAGATCAGGTATTTACTGTTGCCTTTGGCCTTCACCTCAATTACAAACCTCTGTAAGAAGGTGATAAAGAACAAAAGTCAAAAACGTTTGCAGTATGCATAAGTTATGTTATGCAGTAGTTTATGAAATTTAAAAACATTGAAAGTGACACAATGGCAAAAGACATCAAGCTGACAGGTGTGTACATGGACAAACAAGTAAAATAAATTTTTTTAAAGAATGCAAGAATGTGTCCCCTTGACAATATTTAAGACTGGCATTTTATACATATGGCATTTAATAGTATTTTGTAGTTGGATGCAGTTGGTGAAACATAAATCACAGGTAATAGGCAGACTATAAGGCAGACAAATTATAAAAGCCAGACAGACTAGAGGAAAGGTCAACTACAGGGGTTCAGGTCTGGGGAAACTCACATAGTAAACAATGAAACCTTTCTTTTCCTCAATGTCAGCAATGGTTGCAGTGACTGGGATGTTGTCTGGAAGCTGGTCGAAATCACTGTCAGGTAAACAAATGTTACAAACATTTTGATTAGCACAGAAAATATGCCCTGAAATATGTTTTTTAATCAATGTTACGGTAATTAATTTACAATAAAATAATCTGCTCCAGCATTAAAAGCATTTGTTTTTGTGTGTACACACAATATAAAGATTATATTATTTGTTGAAACACTTACACTAATACTACTACCACTACTAGGCCTACTGCTACTACTACTACTAATAATAATAATCAAAAATCAAATGTTTTATAGTTGTCTAAATGATACTTTTTGAGATGAGAATACTTTTCTATGTGGATAAATCAATACCCACAATTTTATTTATATTTTTTAATTGTGAGATCAGTTTAAATATTTTCTGAATAATTTTCATTATGTCATAAACAAACTTGTGTTAAATACTAAAAATGCTCATTTAGGCTTGCACATAGTGTTATGACATGGTGGACTAGTCTTGTCTAGTATAGTATAGGTTTAGTCAACTACACTAAACTGAGACTATCTGTTGTTCCATAGTACACTCCATCCAATACAGTATAGCCTACTACTGTATAGAATAATAATTACACCACAGCATAGTATTTTAAAGTACAGTTACAAGTTAAACTGGAATAGTACACAAACACTACGCCCTGAAAGCGACTCTACTACGACGCAGGAACCTCGGCTTTGATATCATGAATATTCACGACGAGAAAATAATAATAAAGAGATGATTTCGCTCACCTTTCATCGCGCAGCTGTTGCGGGAGAGACATGCTGGATGATGGGGGATTCAGAGCTCTTCAGACGCTCACAGACAGAGACAGACAGAATGTGATTAGTTGAGTAAAGTGGAAGTGAAGCTTCTGGTGTTTTTCTGAGGCGGGTTTACAGTTGCACGTAAACCAAAGGGGAACTGAAAGAGTCCCGGTGGGGGACTTTAGTATGAGGACTTCACAAACTAAAGCGCCGTTATTGGGTTCAGAAACAACAGAATGGAGAACACCGGTATGAAGAGGCGTTTAAAATGTTTCAAGTGGAAGCAAATTTGCGCGACGCAATGACCAAGAGGTGCATCATGAAAGAACGCGTCCTGTTTAACGCCCATTAAACTCTGTACTGTTGAATAAGAAAGACAGAACGACAGAAAGAAAGAAAGAAAGAAAGAAAGAAAGAAAGTAAGAAACCAACCCGTAATGTTAATAATTCAAATTTCATTCTCGTAGTGTAGTTGAATCTTTTTCTCTTTCCGTTCGGCAGTCCGTCTGATTAATTCTTGAGTATGAATTAAAGGAATTCAAGTCATCAGGTGAGACAGGTCATTGAGTACATTTACATGGACAACAATACTCCGATTTTAATACGGTTTAGACAATACTCTGATTAAGAATCTACCATGTAAACAAAGATTTTTGATTACCTTAATCTAAAGTCATAATCGAAGTAAACAGAAATCGAATTAAGACATGTGGAGTAGGCTATTACTATAGTGGCATTACTGAAGTGCAGTATAGACATGTGAACACCTTAAAGGGTTAGTTCACCCAAAAATTAAAATTAGGCTGTGTTTTACTCACCCCCGAGGCATCCTAGGTGTATATGACTTTCTTCTTTCAGACGAATCCAGGCAGAGTTATATTAAAAACTGTCCTGGCTATTCCAAGCTCTCTCGTTGCAGTCAGCGGGTGTTGTAGTGTTGGGTCGTTCTTGAATGATTCGTTCATTTTGAACGAATATTTAATGTGACTCGGGAAGAACGAGTCGTCTCGGAGAGTGATTCGTTCAGCGCATGCGCAACATCATATAGGTTCTGTACTGGAATTAGTCAAGTAGTTCACCTGGTTCGAGTCTTCGGGTTTTTCAGAGTAATTCGTTCATCACGTGACAGCCCCATTAGTTTACCCTATGCAGTCTGAGCCGGAAAGAGAATTGATTAGTTAATCTCGAGTCTTCGGGTTTGAGTCGTTCGTTCATCACGTGACAGCCCCATAAGCTTTAACCAATGCAGTCTGAGTCGGAAAGAGAATTGATTTGTTCATCTCTCGAGTCTTCTGGTTTTTCCGAGTCGTTCGTCATCACGTGACAGCCCCATAAGCTTTAACCAATACAGTCTGAGCCGGAAAGAGAATTGATTAGTTCATCTTTTGAGTCTTCGGGTTTGAGTCGTTCATTCATCACATGACAGCCCCATAAGCCCAAACCCGAAGACTTGTCAGATAAGAGGTGAGGTGAGCTAATCATAGACTGAAGACCCAGGTAAACAATTCATTAATCTTTTCTGTTTCTTACAGCAGTTTTGTATTGTTTGTAGTGTGATCAACGTTTGCGTAAGTAGTAGACATATTAGGGAAGTAACACGTAACATTTTAATTATATTTTGCTAAAATGAATGAAATGACTCGAAAAAAGATTCGTTCATTTTGCTGAACGAGACTCAAAGGTCCGAGTCGGTAAAATGATCCGAACTTCCCATCACTAGGGTGTTGCAGTGTTTCAGTCCAAAAGAAGTCAAATAAAAAGTGCCCATCCATAAAAAAAAAAGTGTCTCGCACGGATCCGGGGGGTGAACAAAGGCCTCCTGTAGCGAATTGATGCGTTTTTATACGAAAAATATCCATATTCAAAACGTAATAATCACTTGAATCTAGCTTGCGCTCACTGTTGTAAACGGAAGCAGTTCCGGGCGGATGACGTATGGAGGTCGGCGTTGCGCATGCGCCGCTCAGAAGTGACGCACGTGGAAACACAGCGGAGAGATCAAAACAAAACAATGGTCACTAATTATAAGTACAAAACGAGGGTTTGTAAAGAAGAATGTCGGAGGATTTCGATATAAGCCAAGAGGAGACTGGTTTTCCTTTGCTAAAGTAAGGAAACTTTGCTTCCTTTGATCCTGTAAACAAACGTTGGTTTTCACGAGACTCAACGGCGCATGCGCAACGCTGACCTCATACGTCATCCTCCCGGAGCTGCTTCCGTTTACAACAGTGAGCGCAAGCTAGATTCAAGTGATTATTACGTTTTGAATATGGATATTTTTCTTACAAAAACGCATCGATTCGCTACAGGAGGATTTTGTTCACCCCCCGGAGCCGTGTGAGACACTTTTTTTATGGATGGGCACTTTTTATTTAACTTCTTTTGGACTGAAGCACTGCAACACCCGCTGACTGCAATGATAGAGCTTGGAATAGCCAGGACAATTGATTCGTCTGAAAGAAGAAAGTCATATACATCTAGGATGCCTCTGGGGTGAGTAACACACAGCCTAATTTTAATTTTTGGGTGAACTAACCCTTTAATCACATTATTACCGTCGTGTAGGACCTTTCGCCCCATTTTGCAACAGGATACATACAGCAGTGCTCAACCGTTTGACGGCAAATAAAAGAGCTTCAACACCTGCCGTCATATGCACGTACAAATAATTAACTGCACTTGAAGCTTTCATAAAATTAAAAATGAAACACCCAAAACTGTACATGGCATCATCACGGAGATGAACTATATGTTTATACGTGAAATTCCGTAGGGGACGTCAGATGGCGTCACGTGGGGACGTAATGACGTGTGCATTAATCAAACTATGTACTATAACATGTAAAACGGGAACATGAAAGGAATATTCTAAAAGCAACTCATGTAAACACCATAATCATAATATTGGCTTATTTAGAATAAGGTAAATAATTAGATTACTGATGTCCATGTAAACGTAGTCACTGTTGCACTACATAGGCCTACTCGGTTGTGAACACAGGCTTAAAGTATTTAAAGATCCATGGGTCTCAAGAAGCAAATTCTTGAAATGATCATTTCTGCACAATGCTAGTATCACCAAATGGATGGAGTTGCAAAAATATTGAATGTTCCGCTCCAAGCTATCATTGGTCGACTAAACAAATAGTCCCACCCATAAGCCACACCATTGGTTGAACCAATGTTGCCAATTCAGGTCACAAAAAAAAAAACAGAATTTTGATAAGGCTACAATGTTACCATTGTTAAAATACTATTATCACACACACACACCCACATATAAATAAATAAATAAATAT